CACCACCCCCACCACCACCGTTATACCCACCCCCAGAACTAACTCCACCACCACCTCCGGCCATATCTCCACCACCCCCATCTTTCTCCCCTGTACGACCCATAGTAGTTTTTTCCCCTTCCATTTCTCTATACTTGGCCAAGTAAATCTTCAATGGCTCAACATACTCTTCGAATCCTAAAGTCGTCATAGCCCAAAGCAAATCATCACCGTTAATCGTCTTCCTCTTCTCTCTCTGGCACTTATCCGATGCTTCTCCGGTAATGAAACTGATAAATTCCGATACACACTCTTGAACTGTTTCCTTAGCATCCTTTGAAATTTTCGCGTTCGCCGGTAAAGCTTTCTTCATTATTCTGCTCACGTTAGCTATCGGAAGGAACCTGTCTTGCTCCCTTGTTGATCCTTCACTGTTCGCGTTGTTGTGACCTCCTGATTCGTTGTCTGAATCAGCCATCGCCAATCCCCAATTTCTCAAAATTCAAAAAGGGTACTCGAGAAAAACACCTTTTTCCTGCTAAAACAACAAAAACGAAAAAAAACCCTTTATCTCCGGTGAGTTGGAGATGATGTTTTCAGCAGGAAATTTTAACTGGGTTTGGATTTTCCGGCGAGAAAAATCTAAATTGTATACAAACAGATGGGATAAAAACAGAAAAACAAAAATGGGGAGAAACGCTCGCCGGAGATTTTTCGCCGGGAAATATTTCCGGCCGGGGAGAGAGATGAGGGAGAAAAGAGCAAGAGAAAATGCAGGATCCGTTGGATCGTGGGGTATAATATTCAATCGGGTACGACACGTGTCGGATTTAAAACCGTTCATTTGGTGATAAGGGTTAGATAATGTGGGTGAATCTGAACCGCACAATGAACGGTGGGGCAGAGCTATCTTGACGGTTCAAAAAAGGAGTCACGTGGTGGGTGTGAAAAAAAAATAATCTATAGACTATGTGGGGGAGTTATGTTATTTCACTAAAAGATTTTTACATTTAGGATTAGTAACTTTTTTTTTGGTTGATTAATTATCGATTAGGGAGAAGTGATTAGATAAGAATTTATGCTATCGAGGATATGACTTTAGATAAAACAGTGTAGAGAATGTGTGCGTATTAAGTTAGTAGGTTTGTTGGTGTTTGTCGTTGTACTAGTGGGCTCCCCCCCTCCCCCCCCCCCCCCACCAACGGATTTATTCACCTTTTTCACTTCCCCAACACCCCCTACCACACCCCTACTTTTAATACTATAATTTAATCCCTCAAGTTATCATAAATACACTTTAACCCATTTTTAATATTATAAATACCCCTCTATCCCTTATTATTTCTTACAAAATCATCTATTCTCTCATCTATTTTATATATCCTCTCAATCTTAAGTCTTAATTTTTTATTCCATTTAAGTCTCATATTATATCATAATACATATATTTCAATTCTAAATTTTCATATTATATCATAATATATATAATTCTCATATTTGCTATCAAGTATTGGAGTTCCAAATTACAAGTTACAACAAACTACAAGCTTCAAGAATCGGTTATAACGTCTGCTATTAACGCAGACGTTTGGTACATTCGTTTCATAATATTTATATTTTATTTTTCGTCATTATTTTTTGTGTTATTATTATTTTTATATTACACTTTACATATAATTAAATATGAGTTCTAGCAAAAGAGATATTGATAAAGGAAAAGAGAAAGAACCAAGTGGCATTAGTAAATTATTTAATTTTAATAAAAAAAAGTAGTAAGGAAAAAAATAAGAGTAAATGTGGTGGTACTTCTTCTAAATCAATGTCTAGAGTTAGATTTAATACAAATGATTCTACTTATGTGATACTTCTTATGATATTGATTCAAATGTTCAACTCGATCATGAAATTTTAGAACGACGTTATGATAATATTAATCCTAATCTTGATGAAAATTCAGGTGAAGACTAGAAGTTGATTTGGGAGAAGATGAATTAGAAGATACACCTACTAGTCCGGTGACAAAAGTTTCAAATGAAACTACAAATTCAACGGAGCAAAATTGTGGACGCCCACCCCATATACCTCCTACAAGGGAGATGGTAAAGTATCAACGCCCTAAAACTTCTGTTGTGTGGCAATTTATGACTTTCGATAGGAAAACTCTATTGTTATTTGTAATAAGTGTAAACAACCTTTTAAACATAAACAAGGTGAAGGTCAAGGTGGGACGGGGGGCTTAAATAGACATTTGTTATCTTGTGTGCCGATTCAATATAAAGAAGCTAAAGCATTAGCCGATAGAAAAAAAGGAATTCCAGTTAATGATGTTGATATTAATGTTAATGAATCGATAGGGGCTTCTAACATGGTTCAAGGAACATTAGATCCTTCTAACCCAGTGGTCCACTAACACAACGTAAATATAATAAGGAAAGAGATCGCGAAAATTTAGCAAAAATGGTTTATGTTTGTGGTTTGCCTTATAGTTTTCCTTCACATCCCGATTTTATTGAATATATTCAACAAACTTATAATCCTTCTTTTAAAGGTTTTTCAAGAAATACTGTTAAAGCTGATGTTTTTTTTATATCAAGGTAAACATTGTCAATATCTTTGTTGGTTTTTTAGCAAATTAGATTGTAGAGTGTCTATAACTTCGGACATGGGTCGTAATGTTAATAGACATGATTATTTAACTATTACAACACATTGGATTGATCATAACTGGAATTTGCAAAAATGAATCTTAAGTTATAAAGAATGTGTAGAGAAAAAAATTGGTGCATATTTAGCTTCAAATATTTTGAGTGTTTTAGATTATTACATGCTTATAGATAAAGTAATGTCTGTCGCATTAGATAATGCATCTAATAATACAAACGCTGTTAGTATGTTAAAAACTAGATTATGTCCAATTGATGTTAATGTTTTTCATGTTAGATGTGTTGCACATGTATTAAATTTAGTTGTACACGATGATATTTCATTATTTGACTATGTTGTATGAAAATTGAATATGTTGTTGCCTGAATTTTTTATGCTCATAGAGCTGCTAGAATTAGGTAATTTAATGAGCGTTGTGTACTATGTGATTTGCCACCAAGAAAAATTTCAAGACATATTAAAACAAAGTGGAATTCTTTTTACGAAATGCTTTCAGTTGCTTAGGAATATAAAGGACCCATACAAATGGTGTTTAATGCTCATAATGCTAACCCATTAGATATAATTTGTGAAGAAGATTGGGAAGAAACTAATGAACTATTAAAATTTTTAAGACTTTTTTATGATGCTACAACCATGTTTTCTGGAATTTATTATCCTACTATTTAATCAGTATTAATAAGTATTTGTGCTATTACAATTCAATTTTCTAAATACAAAAAAATTGAAAAATTTAGAGTTGCAATTGAGGGTATGATTGAAAAATTTAATTTTTTTTCCTATTCCTCAAATTTATTTAACTGCTACTTTACTTAACCCTCAATATAAATTACGAGGTGTGCAGGGACTTGTTGAAACTTTTTATGATACTTTAGAAATTTTACCGGAAGAAATTCCAACTTGTGAAATGTGTAAGTCTAGCAGAAAAGTAAAAGCAAAAATTTTGTATGAAAAATATAGAACTATAGGAAATACAAGGAGAAGTTTGGTCAAACTTCTAATCCTCAGAGTAAAGATCGAATTAATAGTTTTATGCGAGGTTTTCTTGGTCTTAATTCTATTAACCGTGATAATTTTTGAAGAATATCTTAATCAATCTTTAGAAACAATGGACGACGACGATGGCAATGTAGAAATATTAGCATGGTGAAGGAGGCGGAGCGTTGCATTTCCAATTTTTAACAAAATGGTTCGTGATGTTCTAGCTATTCAAGCTTCATCAGTTGCATCAGAGGCTGCTTTTAGTGCGGCAAGGTTTCAACTTGGCGATCATAGACATTCATTGGCGGAAGAAAGTTTGGAAACATCAGTTTTATTTAGAGACTGGGTCAACGCCGAGAGGAGGAATTATAATTTGCCAAAGTTAAGTTCCAAACAAGAAGCTTGGATTAATGCGGTAATTGGATCTAGTGATGATGAATTAGAGTCACAAGAGTTTCTAGCAAGTTTGCCAACACCGGAGGATGTTACCGTCGATATGATGCGACCATTAGAATTGAATTTTAAAGGAAAATACAAATATTAGATTACGTCCGAGAACTAATTGAAACAGAACCCTTCCTAGAAGGTGGCTGCGTAGATTAATTACTCCCCTAATATTTATAAATTGTAACTTCTAAGTTCTAAGTTGCAATTAGATTTTATTGAATAAATTTGAAGGTTTTATTCAAGTCTTTTTTATACAACTATTGTCTTGCATTTTAATTTTAATATATACATACATAAATACATATATACTAAACTAACTTTAAAATACTTAATTTAAAAATTGAAATTTCAAGTTTAAATTACTTTATAATATTTAAAATACAAATTTGAACTTCTCAAATTTGAAATTTGAAACTTGAAACTTGAAATTTGAAATTTGAAAACTTAAGCATTTTTTATTAGCTAAAAATGTTATTGAAAACCAAATAAACTAAAAATGTTATTCAATAACATATAATTTCAATACAAATAAATAAACATATAAAAAAAAAATCCCACGTCCCGTCCCGCCAAATCCCGTCCCATCCCGTATATATAGTGGGAAGGGATGGGACGTATTTTTGTCCCGCCAATCCCGATTCCGTCCGAATCCCGGTCAAGGCGTCCCCCGTCCCCCTTCGTCCCGTCCTCGTCCCCTTACCAGCCCTAACTAGTCATATAGTATTGTAGTTTTTGATTTTGATATCTATCATCGTCTATTGTTTATTGTGTTGTAGGTTTTACATTATTTCTTTTGTTAGTTACTATGTTTTCTTTTTCTTTATACTTGAATTTGTTGCACCTGAGACTAAGGTCTCTTGAAAATAGTCTCTCCGTTTTCTTGAGGTGTTGTTAAGGTCTAAATATGTTACCCTCCTTAAATAGGATTTATGAGATTTCATTGAATATGTTGTTGTTATTGTTGATATTTAACTAAGCATATTTAATTCTTAATTATATGGAATGCATATTTTTGATCTCTTAGCTTGTGAATACTCATAAATTTTCAAAAATGCTAAATTGTTATATTATTTTACGACTCATGTGTTACTCTTTGTACCAATTTATGTGACACATTTCGCTTTTCGAGAGTCAAACAGTTTAAATTTGATCGAGAATTTGCTCATAAAATCTTCAAATTTTTAAAAAAGAAATTTATATATTTGTAAACTACATAAACAGTACTGTAAGTCTCAATAATTGATAATTCAAAATATTCAAAAGATATAGGAAAAATTTACAGTCAAAGATAGACTTATTTGAATCTCGAAATTCGAAATGTGTCGAGGAACGGAGGAAGTACTATTATTCTATCTTTTAGGATACCATACTTGTAAAAGAATAGTTCATCTATAACATAGAGTTTATAACATTTTGATCCCTTTGTGATTTAATTTTTTTTGATTTAGCCCCTAATATTTATCTAAGTACATCAAATATTTAATTAATTGAATTGTGAATTTTTTATTTCTTTGCTTGTACAATTATCCATACTCAACGATAATAATTAAAATTTTATATATAGTCAAGTATAACATATTTTTAACAAGAAAAGATACAAACACGCACATTTTGATTAAAGGTTAGTATAGTATGACTCGATAGAAAATAATTTCCCTTTTAATGAATCGTACTTTGTGTAAATCCGAATTTGTCTCACCCGAATACTAAAAAAATTCTACTTTACTTTTTCTTTTTTAATTTAATAAAGCAAAAAGGAAACATATCCTTCATCAAAAAATAAATGATATATA